TGTGTGTGTGTGTGTGTGTGTGTGTGTGTGTGTGTGTGAGAGAGAGGGGATGTGTAGTAGTTTCATATTTTAAAGGTAGTGTTTCCTGAAGTAGGAATCTAAATTTTACAGTTTCACATTCTGACTATCCTCAGTAGCTTTGAAATTAGTATTTTTTTTAAACTGTAACTACTTTGTCTTGGCTGCTGTATATTTTCTTTCTTTCTATTTTTAAGGATATTTTGATCCACAATAATTTACTACATGGAGTTTGTAAATTCTGCTTATTGTGCCATTAATTTAGAACAGTTTGTGTTTGATGTTCCACAGTAAACTAAATATTAAAAAGGGATGACTAATTTATCGATAACAGATTTCTTGTACCGTTATTAATATTAAAATGAAGTATTAGTATCAGTAGTAGTTTGAAATGTTTGCCGTTAGAAAATGTTTTTCATATTTATACTGCTTCATGATTTATTTAATAAATGTAAGAAGTATAGCACATAAACAGTTATTTAATCTGCATCTGTTTCTCATGGCCCTCCTTGTCCAGGCCTCTCCATCTTGCAGCTCGAAACGGCCTGGCTACGGTGGTGCAGGCACTGCTGAGCAGAGGAGCCACAGTCCTGGCTGTGGACGAGGAAGGTGAGACGCTCTGAAACTTTAACTGGTTTATATATTTTTATTAATATGCAGACATGGACAAATGTATTTATAGGTTTTCTTTAAAGATAGAAAAACCTAAAAGGGTCACTGATAAAACTTGAAATTAAAAAGGCAATGAAATCATTTTTTGTGTACAAGTTCTTGTAAAGGTTGTTCAATATACATTTAAATTAAGCATGTTATGTAGAAAAGTCATTGGCTCAGATTTCTAAAATCTGCATCGGCCATAAAAAGACTTTGTTCAACAAGTCAGTAATCCAGTATTGTTGCATTTAAAGTTAGTTTTGTTGCTTCGTTTTGAGCTGTCAAACTAAAACGTTATTTCTAAAAATTACAAAATCCTCCAAAAAGATGAGGAAAATTTTTAAAAAAAAAAGTTGGATTATAGTTTCCTATTAATTTATCTGAGATGGACCTCTTGATATTCCCAAATAAAACATTAGTTAGAGCAGCTTAGAGAACAGTGTCATGTACTGATGTGGTTGTGTTGTTGACCAGGCCACACCCCAGCTCTGGCCTGTGCTCCCAACAAGGATGTGGCTGACTGCCTGGCTCTGATCCTATCCACCATGAAGCCTTTCCCTCAGCGGGACCCTTCCTCCTGCTCCTCCTCCTCCCCCACAGTGTCCTCCACTGCGGGTCTGAACCTGCTGAAGCACTGCGGTATCACCGCCGCCTGCTCCCCTCTGCCCAGCAATGGCCTCCACAATGGCTACGTCAAAGACCGCCACGGTGCACCGGTTGGCCTGGATGGGTGTCTGTCTGAGTGAGGCGCCGTGCCCCACTCTCAGCCAGCTGCTATCAACATCACCACCACCAGGGGGCAACTACCTTAAACATGGTCAAGAGGACCAGAAGAGCACCCACCCACATGTTTGTTTTTCTCTGTGTGTACGTGTTTGTGTGTCTGTGTGTGCGTGAGTGTTTGGTCTTCTCTTGAGGTGCAGTCAAACCTATTATGCAATTAGATTCCATTCCTCCGTCTCCTAGTAGTGCTTAATGCATCGAGGCAGATTGCTCTACAAGGTCACTCAGACAAGTCGAGGCATTCAAGATAAACACGAGCGATGTGGCCATCTCTAAATTGTTTAACCCTTTAAAACCATGCAAACATCATTTTCTAGTCAACATTTAGGAGCATGGAAGTGTCTATTTTAGTTGTCTTTCTCTTCATATCATTCAGTTGAAAACTCTTATGTTTATTCAGTTGAGGTGACCTTGTAGAGGGTCTTGGAGCCTTCACAGA